ACAGCCCAAAAATACCCCCAAAATACCCCAAAATCCCTGCAGAGAACCACCCCGGGAACACGAGGAACACGATGAACTGTGACCCAAAAAATGTCCTAAAATATCCCAAATTATACCCAAAAATATCCTGGAATTATCAAAAAAATCCCGATTAAAAACTGACCAAAAATGGCTCAAAAATCCCCAAAATCCCTGCAGGGAACCGTCCCGGGAACACGAGGAACACGATGAACTGTGACCCAAAATATCCCAAATTATCCCCAAAAAATATCCCAAAAAAAACCCCATTAAAAACTGCCCAAAAACAGCTGAGAAATTCCACAAAAATCCCATCAAAAACGGCTCAAAAATCCCCAAAATCCCTGCAGGGAGCCACCCCGGGAACACGAGGAACACGATGAACTGTGACCCAAAATATCCCAAATTATCCCCAAAAAATATCCTGAAATTATCCTGAAAATACAGAAAAAATCCCGATTAAAAATTGACCAAAAATGGCTCCAAAATCCCCAGAATCCCTGCAGAGAACCGCCCCGGGAACATGAGGAACACGATGAACTGTGACCCAAAATATCCCAAATTATCCCCAAAAAATATCCTGAAATTATCCTGAAATTATCAAAAAAAAAACCCCATTAAAAACTGACCAAAACTACCCCAAAAATACCCCCAAAACGGCTGAGAAATTCCACAAAAATCCCCAAAATCCCTGCAGAGAACCACCCCGGGAACACGAGGAACACGATGAACTGTGACCCAAAATATCCCAAATTATCCCCAAAAAATACCCTCAAAATATCCTGAAAATACAGAAAAAAATCCCGATTAAAAATTGACCAAAAATGGCTCAAAAATGCCCAAAATCCCTGCAGGGAACCGCCCCGGGAACACGAGGAACACGATGAACTGTGACCCAAAAAATGTCCTAAAATATCCCAAATTATCCCCAAAAATATCCTGGAATTATCAAAAAAATCCCGATTAAAAACTGACCAAAAATGGTTCAAAAATCCTGCAGGGAACCACCCCGGGAACACGAGGAACCTGATGAACTGTGACCCAAAATATCCTGAAATTACCCCAAAAAATATCCTGAAAATACAGAAAAAATCCTGATTAAAAACTGACCAAAAATACCCCAAAATGGCTGAGAAAGTCCACAAAAATCCCCAAAATCCGTGCAGGGAACCGCCCCGGGAACACGAGGAACACGATGAACTGTGACCCAAAATATCCCAAATTATCCCCAAAAAATATCCTGAAAATATCCTGAAAATACCCTGAAATTACCCCAAAAAATATCCCAAAAAAATTCTGAAATTATCCCAAAAATATCCTGAAAATATCCCAAAAATATTCCCCAAAAAATCCTGAAAATATCCCAAAAATCCTCCAAAAATATCCTGAAATTATCCGAAAAATATCCTGAAACTGACCCAAAAAAATCCCAAAAATATTCCCAAAATATCCTGAAAATATCCCAAAATTATCCCCAAAAATATCCTGAGATTATCCCCAAAAATATCCAAAAAATATTCCCAAAATATCCTGAAAATATCCCCAAAATTGGGAATTTTCCTGAATTTTGGGTTTCTTTGAGACCCCAAATTTGGGAATTTTTGGGTTTTCTTGGAACCCCAAATCTGGGAATTTTTGGGAAGTAAATTTGGGAATTTCGGGGTTTTTTTCCCGCCTCAGTTTCCCTTCCTTTGGGACCCCAAATTTGGGAATTTTTGTG